GTGATTTAAGGGCGATTTAAGGGATTTTTAGGAGTGTTTCTGACGTTACGCATTTTTTGGATTTACGCGAGGTCCCAGGAACGTAACCCTCCCGTAAGATGCGAGTCTACTGTACTACACTAAAGGACAAAATTTTTATCTTTTTTTTGCAAAATATGTAATGTCTATACTCAATTTATTCGCTATCTTGCACGGATTCCAGCAATGCAAGTTATATTCTGCTAAGTTTAGTCTGTGAAATTTTATAAGATAAATATTTGAAGCCTAAAATTACCTTCTTCCCTGGCAAGGGTGAGGTGAGGTTGATAGCCAGTCAGGGGGGAGGACGGGGGGTGAGGTGAGGAATTGACCAGCCAGCGACGAAGGTTACCCAGTGCGTATTTATTTATCTGTCATATAGAGGGAGTTTAAGTTTTTCGCTCTTATAAAATGCACTGAATTGACTTAGCACAATATAACTTACATTGCTGGAATTCTTGTATGATAGTTATTAATTTGAATATTAACATGCTATAGTTTGCACAAGATATAAAAAAAAAATAGTAATTAACTTATTACAGTACATTTGAGTACATGTTTGCTCTTAGGACAATTATTTCTTTTACGTTTTTCACAATATGTATTTATGATACTGTGTGCATGTAAATGAAAAAAGATATGTATATCTACCCAAAAATACGAATTGAAAAACTTTTACTAAAATGTACTACACTAATGGAATAAAACTTTTATCCCTTGTGCAAAATATATGATGTCTATATTCAAATTGTTTGCTGTCTTGCAAGGATTCCAGCAATGCAAGTTTTATTCTGCTAAGTTTAGTCTGTGACAATTTATAAGATAAAAACTTTAAGCCTAAAACTACCTTCACCCAGTTTTGGGAATGCTTCTTAGCCCAGAACCCCCAATTTTTTTTGTCCAAATCTTCTGAAATCCGGATTTACTGGGTCCAGATCTTCGAAGGTTTACTGTACTTGTACTGTAATTAAATTATAAAAGTTGCTAAAAAATCATTCAATACAGTAAACCCTTGCTATTCATGGGGGTTAGGTTCCATGGAATAGCAAGAATCGGAAAAAAACCGCAAATAGTAACTTATACTGTACTACCTTGGTGCACTACTGTACAGTATACCTATACTGTGTATGAAAATGTAAGTCACCAATATTACTCTCCTTTGTATGTGGAAGTTTGGAGCTTGATGAAGTGTACTGTACAGTAGGATGAAATCTGTTTACTGAAGCATAAGGAAACAACAGGATCACTGTTGGAAGAGGTGATGCAGTGGTGGTTGGTGAAGAGGTGGGTGGGTGGCGAGGCGGCAGCAGCTGACCGAGTAGGTGAGGGAGACGAATCAACTGGGCGAGCGGCTGGTTCTTTCTTAAAAAACATTGTGATTGATAGTTGTTTCCTCTTGGCTTTGAGGCCTCTAAACGTTTCACTCCACTCGCATCACTAGCACTGACACTAGGCAGTCTTTTAGGGGCTATTTCACACAGAAACACTAAAGTTTTCAGTACAACACAAGAGATGCTGCATCACAGGCAATGGTTGAGCGCAAACAAAGGGAGAGGAGTGAGAAGAGACGCTGTGGGCGTGACTCTACTTACCACGAAGTCAAAATCATGAATCGCAAACCCATGAACAGCAAAGGTTTACTGTACTCTAATGTGGCTTAGAAATACAGAAAATATAATATAAAACTATAAAAAAAGAAAAATCAAGAGCATGGGTGTGTACGGTATGTGTATGGAGGCAGTGGGCTATAACTGTCGGGCCGTGCTCCCTCCCAATGAGATGTCATGGCTTATACACAGCAGCGCGACAGCCACATGTCTGTGAATCTGCTGGTTGAGTGCCTGGTTGAAGTGGGTCGTATCATCCAGAGGATGGTTTGAGTGTAGAAGGAACTATTTTTTTTTTACATAAAATGTGTGTTATTGTATCTTATGATATGCTATGTATCAATTTAATTGTTTATCATAGCAATAAATATGGAGGCTCTTCCCCATTGCGCACAGTTTTCAACCTTACAATTGTAGCTCATTTTGTAGGAAATTTTATTATTACAGGTACTCCTCGGCTTACGACCTACTCGACTTATCACCACCCGGACATACGACCGCCCCAGTCGTGCCAATTTTTTTTCAAATTACGTATTTTCGAGTCCCGACGTTAGTGATTGCGCTGTGTGTTGACAAAATTTTCGTTTGTAATTCGCTTTAAGAGGCTGGCAAGTTTAAAAGTGAGAGTTTTGTGGTGCTGAGAAGAAAAAGAGACACCCATTTTAGATTTTCTATGTATTATTTTCGCATTTTCGACTTACGACCAATTCGACTTATGATCTGGATTTGGGTCCCTAACCCCGTTGTAAGTCAGGGACTGCCTGTATTATTATTTCATTTTGGTGCTGATTACCCGGACCCCGAATAACCACGGTTCTACTATGGCTTACAAGTACTGTAATAAGCAAATTAGTTTAAGCAACTAAATTAGCATAATAAACTTAAGTACTGTATCCTAATTGTTATCGCCACGCACAATTGTACGCGCCGGCCACAAGTTAAATGAAGAAACTGTTTACAACTCAGAATAGATTACTAAGCAAGATGGAGCTGTTAGCAGCTGTGTGACTGCCTGAGGGACAGACTATATCGCCTTCTACTGTAGAGGCAACATCTTGATTCTTGTCAGCCAACATCTTCCTGCAGGACATAATATTTGTTCTCGTTGGTCTAACCCAGTGGTTCTCAACCTGGGGGCCATAGCCACCAAGAGAGCCACGGCTAGAATTTAGGGGAGCCACGGCGAGCTGTTATAAATTGTACGTTTCCAAATAATGTTGGGAATCTGAATTAAATGAAACTTGTATTACAGTGGTCCCTCGGTTAACGAGCACAATCCGTTCTAGAAGGTTGCTCGTTAACCGAAAAACTCGTTAAACCGAAACCATTGTTTCAATGGGTTTTGGGTAATTGGTTCCAGCTCACCAAAAATTGCCTAAATTCAACAAAAAAGGTAGAAAAGTACACTTACTTTGAGGTGTGTATGTAGAAGGCTCCTGGATGATGATGATGGGAATTAGAATGGGGGGTGGAGAAGGGAGAAGAGAAGGCATTGGGGTGGAAGAGAAGTCACCCCATGGCGCCATTTCACCCAAAAAATTTTAGTTCTCTTGGTGCAATTCAAGATTATTTTCTTTAAATCAACACTGCACTGCATTATATATTGTCAATATGTAAAATAAATTTCAAAATGACCAATAATATGCTTGCAAAAACAGAAAAAAAGCATTTAGTTGAAGAGAGTCTCAAGCAAGATGTTACCTCCACTGGAAAGATACAAAGACTGACGCCTGTATGGTGTGTTGAGAGGCTGGATGGCACGCATAAAACTAGTTTCATTACCTTCAATTATGTTCAATGATTGTTAAAATGAGTAAAAAATTTAATATTAAACTTTTAAAATTATTGAATAGTATAAACTTCTTGATATTTGCTAAAATGGTAAGGAATTTAAGCCCTAGAACCGATTATTGTATTGGCGGACTAATACTACAGCTGGTGGACCGCCAAATGCAAGCGAAATCATGTTCAGGTTGGCTCGTAAGAAACTTGTTAATCGAGGGATTGCTCGTTAACCGAAGTTAAGAATCTTATGGAAGGTAACTCGTTAACCGAGGCGCTCGTTAACCGAGGGACCACTGTACTTATTTTGACTTGGCAGAAGAGAATTTTCATTCTTTTCTTTTTGTCATATTGTTTAATCATGACGACAATACAATTTTAATATTTACATACTCTGGTGCTAATTTTTTTTTTTTTTTTTTACGGATTATTTAAGATTTCACAGGTCCAGTCCCTGTCTGTGTGACAGGCGCTGGACCGAGCTGCTGAACTGACTTGTTCATTACGTGTCCGCGTGTCATCCCTTTGCAAGTGGTGATAGGACCGAATAATCTCAGTTTGGCCTGGGATACCATCACGAAAACAGTGGAGTGTATTGTCTCTGAACCATATATTGTGTTTGAGCTTGACTCAAGTATAATATACTCCATAATTGGTGTTATACTTATTTTGTTTCATAATTCATGCGGTCGCTGCTTTTCGTGGGTGAAATATTTGTACACTTTCTTTATTAATTATTTCCTTATTTATTGGTGCCATTGTTGTTCATACTCATTCTTTAATTATATAATCCTACCATTTTTAGTGCTAAATTGGTATGACTCACTATTCTTCTCATTCTTCCAAGTTGGGCAGTGCTTGTCAAAGGATGCATGTTCTTGCTTACAGGAAGTACACTTCAGCTTGCTAGCTTGAGTGTGAATGTTTACCTGTGTGCATGTTTGTGTATGACTGTATGTGTGTATGTATGTGAATGTGTGTGTGTTTGCCATTCTAACTCTTGTCATATTTATCTGTCCTTTATCATTCTTTAGTCTTTATCACTTGTCTGTTTGTCTGTTCTGGGAGAAAAATGAAGGAGGCCACAAGGATGTTGAAAATTCCTCAAGGGGGGAATGGAGTGAAAAAGGTTGAGAACCACTGGTCTAACCCTAGACCCGAAAATGTGAGTGTGATTGTAAACTGTTGAATCCTCTGAGAACTCTAAATAACTTTAATAAGTGTATTTATGTACTGTATATTGATCATATTATTCAAACTGTGTCCTGATGTATCAGTAGTTGTTATATGCGAGTAATATTTAACAGGTTATGTACTGTACATTGATAGTACTATTCAAACTGTGTCTCCTGATGTACCACCAGTTGTTATATGTGAATTGTATTAAACAGGTTTTGACAGAATTATACTCATCTGGTCAATGACAAGGGTCTTATTGTTCTGCACAAGCCAAAATCGTTCCTATGAGCGATTACACTAATTATATATAAACAGGTTCACAATGGCTAAGTTCTGTAAAAAGAATGCACACACAATAATAATCCTAAAACAAAGATATAGAATTAAAGAGCATGACAGCCAATATCAACATACCTCTGCTTCCGTTCTTCTAAAGTTAGGTGATGGGAGTTTGGAGTTTCAACATAATTGTCCACAACTGGAAATAACCTATTCAAGGCGTAGGTAAACCCAAGAGTGGTCTTATGAATATTTTTCTTGTAGCGCTCAATACCAAATTTCTGTTGAAAGGATAGGACTATTAAATACAAATAGCCAGGAAAGGCCTATTAAGCACATAATGGCACAGTAGACCCTTATTATATCATAAATTGATACTTTGTTTTCTTAATGTCATGGTGCCCTAAATTACTCCCATTTTTCTTTGAGTGTATGGTGTTGGTGGTGATGAGTCTACTTGTCTTCATTGAATTTGAAGAGTAATTTATACGGTGATTGTAGTAGAATGATGACACATAGAAAGCTTATTTTTTAACTTAATAACTTTGCCTTGTTTTAGAGAATAATGAATTAAGTAAGCATATGGTAATAAAAAAAGCTGATTTTTAAAAATCTTCAATATTACTTAAGAAAAATCTAAAAAAATAATAATAAAATTACACAGTTATACCCCGATTTACGCGGTCAATAGAACCCGCGGAGGCCCGCGTAAAACGGGAAACGCGTAAATGGAACAACTGAACATATGGGATTAATTGAAATAGAGACTGGGCCGACCCCCAAACTCCACTTTTTCAGACAATACCTACGTTGTAGTAAAAATAACACATATACTATATATATATACTATATATATATATATATATATATATATATATATATATATATATATATATATATATATATATATATATATATATATATATATATATATATATATATATATATATATATATATATATATATATATATATATATACACAGTGGTCCCTTGGTTAACAAAATTTCGGTTTACAAAACTTCGATTAACGAAAGCCTTATGAGAAACGCGCTTTGTTGTGCGCATCAGCTGATCGACTGGTCCGCCAATACAGTAATTTGGTTCTATGTTTACATTTGTTTCCAGTGGAGTAAATATCAAGAAAGTCGTGCTCTTGAATATTTTTGCATTTTTTATATTAAAATTATTGGTCATTCTAATTTAGTTAACATATTGATAATATAGACAGTACAGGGAAAAGTTTTTGTGCACCAATCAGCTGATCGAATCACCCACCAACGCTTCTTAGTTTAACTTTGTTTACAGTGGAGTGAACATCCAGTTTGTTGATCTCTTGAATATTTTTGCATTTTTACATTAAAATTATTGGTTATTTTGAAATTTAGTTCACATATTGATAATATACAGTGCAGAAATTATCATGAAACATGAAGGCATTAGAACCAATGCACTCTGTAAAGAATATGTCATGTCATCAACGACTGCCTCTATAATCAGCTGTTTGATATGTAAACAAAGCTGCCGGGAATTCGACATACACGCCTCAAAGTAAGTTAAAATATAGTATTCTATTGTTTTTTTATTTTTTAGTATACAGTATACTGTACAGTACTGTATTTAGTTTATATTTAATGTTTTGTTAATTCTATTACTGGTATACAGTACATTGTATGTACTTTTTCTGTGAGTTGGAACCAATTACCCAATATCCCATTGAAATAATAGATTCAGTTAACAAAATTTCGGTTAACGAACGACTCTGTGGAACCAATTGTGTTCGTTAATCGAGGGACCACTGTATAGTCTGAGACTATGAACAAGCAGTGTGCACAACTGTTGTAAAGTCAACACCATTACCCTTATGTCTTATGTGGTAACGGTAACTTTTGCAGGGCTACAATTCCAACAGAAAAGTAAAATAATCAATGGATTACTTCTACCTCTCTCTCTGGGATTTTCCTTGATTTTGTTCCTGTAGACTTGAAGGGATTATACAGAAGTCATCTACCATAAACACAAGGTCATAATTATATAGTATTTATGGTGTTAATTATGGACAGAACACAGTTCGGATTCAACTCTATATAAGTATAAATATAAAGTGAACTACTTTACCTGGATTGCATAGCCAAATCCAAAAATCTTGGAGTCAATCCATGCCTTTCTCTCTGCTACTGTCCACTGTGGGTTTTCTGGACTAGGTTTGTAAATCACTTTCTCCACACAAGTCATAACCTGGTATGAAAAAGTAGTCTTTTATTGCCAATGCTATAGTCCATTTAAAACAAATAAAAAGGTTTATGAAGTTTCTCCATTTACAAACTACATATACATTGAGATCTCAAAACTCTTTCAGAGATACATTTGCTCATACCTGTTTTCAACTTCAGAATCTTCCTTCAAATATTTGTGTTTTTCCACAAAAAACATCTGATTCAACTCATAAAACTGCATCATGTAGAGAACAACTGTGACCAAATCCATTTTGCACGCTTGGTTAGCCTTGATTACCTGATGGCAGCTTTTCTTACTGCTAGGTCTCTTGTAGTGTCCATTGTCAGGTTACTAACTCTTATGTCATTTCTTACTTCTCCCCATGTCATTCTTGGCCTACCCCTGGCTCTCCTCCCCTCCACATTTTGGCTCCTGCACCTCTTGACCCAATTGGTCTCATCCAAACTCTTCACATGTCCAAAATCCCAAACCATTCTGGCCTGCCTCAATGAAAGACTTTGTCAATACCCACCCACTCTCTTAGCTCTAAACAAGGCATCCTGTCTTTCAGTGTCACATGACTCATCCACCTCACCTTTCTCATTTCAGGTCACTCAAGTTTACTTATGCCACCCTCTTTAGCTGTCCACGTTTCATTACCATTCAACACCAGCCACTCGGAGGAAAGGTCCTCCTGCCGTCATTAAAGGCAAGCAGCTCCCTATGCTTCTTCCAGTCATTTCTGATTCTTGCAAATGAGCAAGCTTAAGCACCCCCACCAGCATTGATAATGTCGCCCATGTAACAAAACTCATCAATACAGTTCAGGAACATATCCTTAATGCTGGGTTTCTCCACTCTTGCTAGGGGCTCATGGTTACATGCAACATCCCAAGTCTACCATCTACTCCACTGCACTTCTTAAGTGTACCAACCTTCCACACTCATCGCACATTATTGAACTGCTGCCAACACCTTTCTTACAGACAGCACATAGCCACTTTTCACTTTCCATCATGGGTCCCTCACCCACATCACTCATCAATACAGCACTTTGTTTTTGCCACATTCACTCTCAGGCTCTCTGCCTCTATATCATCCTTCCATTTTCTTAAACTTCTCCACTGTTATCAGCACTTAGGCATCAGCATACAACAACTTTCACATCAGGCCAGTCCTGAAGTCCCATGATATTATCTCCAATACCATGAACAGCCTCTAATGGATTCCTACTCTTACCTGAAATTCCTCACTATTTACGTAAGTAGTTTTTGAGCCCTCATATAATGATACCATAACCACTCAAATAAGGTACTTCTCGACTCCTAGCTTTTGCATTGCCCACTTTTTTACACCATGTGGTGCCCTGTCATATGCCTTACCCAGTCTACAGCTAAGTACAGGTAATACAATTATCTCTCTTTACATAGATATTTCTCCAACAGGCTGTTTGTATAGCCTAAAACAAGGGCTCCCAACCACTAGTCTGCGGACTGGTACCGGGTCTCGGAAATTATTAAAAAAAAAAAAAATTCGACATGTAAATATGAAGATTTAAAATATACTAACATATTATTATACAGGTTGTTCCTCCCTGATTAAGCATCCTCGGGACCTGACCAAAGCCGGACCAGGGAATTTTCCGAACCATGGGTGGTCAGTATAATATACAGACAGACCCCGACTTACGACTGCTACGACTTATGACCGTCGGGACATACGACCGCCGCAGATTTTTTATTAAAAAAATTTTATTTATTTTTTTTTTTTTCAAATGACACGCATTTTCTATACCGAAACGTTTACAGTTAATGTAGTCTCCATGTATAATTAGAAAATTATGGGGGCCCCATGTGCATTCAGCTGACTACATTAAAGGTAAGTACTCAGTCACACTGTAACCATTCCTTATTATTTATTACTTTCACTGTACTGTATCCATTCCTCATTATTCATTACTTTTACTGTACTGTATTTCATTGTAGATTATTTATTTAAAAAAAATTATCTATGTCGGACTTACGACCTGGATTTGGGTCCCTAACCCCGTCGTAAGTCGGGGTCTATCTGTAGTACCAAAACACCTTGCACAGCACTACTAAACCATTGTCATATAACATTTTAATTTCTAATTTCTATTTTAAAATTAATTGATACATAATGGCTCGATATGGCTACTTATCGCTCTAAACAAGAGACTGAGAATATACTATGGTGCACTAACTCATCTGGGATTTTGGGGGGAAAATAAAATGTTTTATTAACCCAGCACCAAATGAACCTAATAATATGGGCTGATGAGCATGGGAGGTTGGTTGCTCTCCTCCCTCCTCATCCCTCTGCCAACTCCTCTCCCAGACTACCCCACCAAACATAATTTTGTACAGTTCAGTATCTTAATATAATTCATCTTAATCTATTTCATAACATAATAAATTACTTTTTGGAACCCAAAAAACTGTGGTGTTTGGTAGAGTCACACTGGATAACACCCTTCTCACGTGTGTCCAGGCCGAGGCTCGAACCCTTGACATATTGGTGAGAGTTATGCGCGTTACCGCTGTACCACCAATACCCAAACAGATTATGTAATCTTTCCAGTTGTAATATTCAAGATAAAATGACATCCAATCAACAACTTTAATCAATCCAACATAATCATTCAACTTACCTTAGTTAATCCAACATTCCTTGTATATGTGCACAACTCTTTCTTTTCTGGATCCACAATAGATTCTTCAATTATGCTGACATTTCGAGCATTGATGAGACGTTCACCCCATTTTGGCATGCGGTTTGTCTTAGTTAATATACGTTTTGAGTGCAGTTGATGGCCAATGATTTTTCTAACAACAGTGTCCTCCGACAGTACATGAGAACTGTAAAAATAAAGGGCTAATGATAAAATCCAACTTTTTGTGTTGATAGCCAAGCAACTCTCACAACAGCATTAATCAGACTGGAGTTCTAGGACCGTACATCCGTCACTGAAGATCAAGGAGTGTTCATTATGATAATCCATCTCACCCCATCATAAATACCACCCTTAAAATGGAGATTGGCAGCACAGGCTGCCCTACAAGACAGGAGGTCTTATAAAGCCATGTTTACCAATTAAGGATGAAACCTGCCACATTGACTGTCCTGATTAATCCTTATATTCAGTTTCTTACTGACCGCCCACAACTTCTGCCAAGCAGGTGTCATAACTGCTGTTAGCGAGAGAAGTGGAAGGACATCTTACTACAGAGGCTCCAAGGACTAAGCAGACATATATCTCAAAGGTTTACCAACTGAGAAGGAACCACCCCAACATTAGGAAATTTCCCTGCATAATGCCAAAATTTATGACCCACTCTCCCATCACTCCAAACACCTTCATGAAATTGAAAGTACAGGCAGACCCCAACTTATGAAACTTATGAAAATTCAATGATGGAAAAAAGAAATTGTCCTTTGGTCTGATTGAAGAGCAAACATGGAGAATTAACTAAAAAAAAAATCATAAGTAACAATGAAAAATATGCTAAAATAATGCATTTTTTTTTTGCTACCAGTATGCTTATCTATTTCACAAACTTATTTAAATATTCTCTAACACTCAGTGTTATTAGGTCTACAAATAAGCTTTCACTGTCATCATTCTTCTACAATCACCTTATTACTTACTCCTCTGTTATTGAAGTCACTATACATTTTGCTCCGGCCAAAACATACTCTAACTATTTCTGTGCAAAGTTGCCCTTACTCACACCTAGAACTTCTGGTAACTCCGCCCACAGCCTCACTTGTCTCATAATCTTCTTGAAGCATCAGTTGGCGCCATCAATTACCCGATCACATTTGAGAAACAAAAATGTGACGTCATTGCTGAGGATATTTTTTGAGCCTCCCACACCCCAAGTCACTTCTCTCACTCCATCCTTCCAGCTCACTTCATCTTCGGTTCTCCAACCTGTGGTGGTGATTCTCCAGCACATCTTCAGTCATCACGGCCCGGTTAACATACGCTAAGTTTCTTGTGAAGTTACTCTATTTCTTTTGAGTCTAGGGACAAGCCAGCCTTAAAACAACTTATTTGTGCAAATGTGAGTGTCCAACTTGTGCTTTTCCCAGTGAGTCTTTATACTGTACTAGGGCACAACACTTACTAATTCCAGGGCAGTGATCCTAGTACGTGTACTATAATACCTCTTATAATGGACAAGATACATTCTTGAGGCTGGTCCACTAAGCGAAATATCAATTAGCCCCTCCAAGCTCAGGGCATCAAATGAGGACATGGATGGTTAATGGCCCAGTACGCTCACGGCATCAAATGATTCACCAATTTTTGCACCACCAGTTTGAACTGTATTGGCGGGATATGATGTATGTGGGCTGTGTGACTATTTTTCTGCCTGATCACATCCTGTAATGACAGCTAGAAGGCCACATGGGCCTAACAGGAGCAAGTCTAATCTTGGTGCTTAAGGGCTAGGGTATTGGAGGGTGAGGGGCGAGACTCGGCTGCTTACCACATTGTTCGTGTTAAATAAAAATATTTATATGTAAAAACATAGTAATATACTTTACTCACCGATAAAAGTGATGCTGACTTTCATTGGCTCATGGGATATCAAAGCATCTTTTTTGTTCAAATAATAGTCACACCGCCTCCATACATCATGATCTACCTGGCCTGGGGTGGGGCAGAAGTTACACATCAGCCACTTCTTTAAACATTTACAAAAGTCAAAAGATATACAAAACATGAGCTCTGTATTCAATAGTTAAAGTGTTACTAAATAAGAAGTTGCAAAAACTGGATTGATGATGTTTGTGATTGTGTAACAGGGTAAACTACATAAATTGCAAAATGATCTGCAATAAGCTCTTTACAAGAAAATGGTAGCCAGAAGTATGTACAGTATATCAAAACTTCAACCCAAGGTAATACCACATACAGAATATACAGCATATCTCCAAAACCTCAGGGTATATCTTCAGGTACTTCAGTTGAAATGTCTAATGTTTGTTGAATTTAGATCCAACCAACCGAATGGGGCTGGACACTAGATGACCAGATACCAATCCAAATGACAGACAGGAAACCAGATCCTGAACATAGTTCACACCATTGTCTGCTGTAAGTGGAAAAGCACATCCACGAACCCTCGTGCTACACAGCATAAAATATGTTAGTGCTTGTGGTGACTTCCATGTAGAACAGTGGTTCCCAAACACGGGGTCGCATAGAGATCATGGGGCCCCATAAAGCTCATAGTCCAGGTGTCAAGGACTGAAGGACGTGGCCGACAGGTGCTGTCTCGTTAAGTTGGGACCATAAATTATGGTCAAGGGAATAATGAATTACTGTGCTCTCCTTGTGTTAAGTCAGGCCAGTCCAGGGAAGGCGAATTACGCCGAACGCTGATGACACATTATGCAGCAGAAAATTCACACTCCTACCTTTGAATTGTTCTCAGCTCAATGCACTCTGTACTTCCCATGGATGCTAACAAAAAATTGCAACAAATTTCAATGATAAATTCCTTGAGTTGCTAACTGAATCTTTGGATTTTGTTCAGTTTCTGTTCAAGACAGATGTAAAACAGTGTGGCTCTTTTGTCCTCGAAATAGCAGAATTACAGGCTGACAATGAGGCAAGGGTGATTTTTGCTATCTATGATGACATATCAATGTTTTGGGATATTTATCAAATTGACATTCAGCGGTTAAAAATCGAGCTACAGTATTAAGGTTCTGATATAATTTGGAAGTCTGTGAGGCAGCTTTCTCGTCAATGGCGTTTATAAAATAATTATCACCGTATCCGTTTATCAAACTAACTTAGAGAATTGTGTGCTATGTTGTTTAATCACATAATTATACCCCCAGTTAACAGAAAATTTATTAAATGATAATGCACACACATTACATATGAATTAAGACTGATGTAACTTGTAATGAAAATTAATTATATGATGGTGCACCCAAGTCATATATGAAATACGTACAGTATGAAAGAGATATAACTACGAAAATTGTATGTTGTGTTGCTTAACCATGTAATTATATCCCCACGTATAGAATATTAAATGGTCATATAACGTCACATATTATACATGAGAGTTGTAGCCTGTTTCTACCAGTGTTTACTTTTAGACTTCTCAATTTGTAATACATTTTCCTGACTTATTTTTAGTTAAATACGAGTGAACCCTCGAAGATCTGGACTAAAAGCGGAAACCACCTGTCCAGAAAAGTCGATTGTCCGAATTTTCCTGCGAATAATAAATGATATAAGAAACACCAAAATTACAGTACTAGTGTAGTGATAAACAAATTAACGTATATAAACCATGCATTTACCTATGATAACATAATAAGAAACATTGTATCATTACGAGAGTGAATTAAATAATATTCCCAAAAACAACAATTGTCAACTCTGTTTATGTTTCCCACCTCCTCGGGCACCTGTCTCCAAGCAACTGACAGGTCAAACAGCGCCCACGGGCCTAAAATGTCTTTGCTCTGGTTTGTGAATGTTTCTTAGGGAAAATTCTAGGAGGCTTTTCAGCCCAGAACCCCCAATTTCTTTGTCGGGATCTTCCAAAATCCGGATTTCCCGGGTCCGGATCTTCGAGGGTTTACTTCAATATGTCCGTACTTACTCGAAAGATCTTCATATATACAGCACACTGTATGTAATGACTTGGGGTTGCACTGGATAGGCTGCAGTACAGTACAATGTCGATATAACCCGAGATACATTCCAAGAGGGGTCGCTTTAAACCGAATTCGCACTAAATAGAAGTGTTGTTTCAATGGAATAATTTAATTTGGTACTTGAGAGAGACACAAAATACTAAAAAGACTGAGAGTCTACCCAGATGCACCTCAGCCCATCTCCAAGAATAAACAAAACATTGTTTTTTGTAGTATTATGTTAAAACAAACACTCATAAATCAACACAGCTAAAATTATGGGATGTGAAATGGTCTGTTTACTGGCTGGGAAGGTGGTCGGGAGGGAGGGAGATGAGGTGATATGTTTGACAGTTGATGCCAAGGTCTAGTGCTTATTTATTTATATGTCCTTAAGAGTGACTAACTTTTTCTCTTATTAAATGTCACTAAACTCACCTGGGAGAATATAATTAACATTGCTGAAATTCTTATAAGATAGTGATTAGTTTGAATATAAACATGCTATAGTTCGCATTAAACATACAAATTTTAGTTCTAACTAATTTTATTACAAAGGCTAAAATTTTTATCTCTTCTGCAAAATATATGACGTTCATGTTCAAATTATTCGCTGTCTTGCAAGGATTCTAGCAATGCAAATTATATTCTCCTAACCTTAGACTGTGATAATATATAAGACAAAAACTGTAAGACTATAACCACCCAACCCTGGCTGGGAAGATGAAGGGGGAGGGGGGGGGGGTGACAGTGACAAGTTTGACAGTTGGCGCCGAAGGTCTAGTGAAGTATTTATTTGTTTATTTATGTCCTTTAGATTGAGTTTTTGTTTATAAAATGTCACAGAAGTGACCGGGTAGAATATTATTAACATTGCTGGAATTCTAAATACAGTATACTGTACTGTACTGTACAGTATACTGTACAATAAAAAATAAAAAACAATAGAATACTGTATTTTAACTTACTTTGAGGTGTGTATATCGTATTACCGGCAGCTTTGTTTACAAATCAAACAGCTGATTGTAGAGGCAGTCGTTGATGACATGCCATATTCTTTACAGAGTGCATTGGTTCTAATGCCTTCATGTTTCATAATAATTTCTGCACTGTATATTATCAATACGTTAACTAAATTTCAGAATGACCAATAATTTTAATGTAAAAATGGAAAATATTCAAGAGACCAACAAACTGCATGTTCTCTCCACTGTAAACAAAGTTAAACTGAGAAGTGTTCCCTGTACTGTATATATTATCAATATGTTCACTAAATTTCAGAATGACCAATAATTTTAATATAAAAAATACAAAAATATTCAAGAGCCACTGCAAATGAATGTAAACACAGAACCAATTACTATATTGGCAGACTAGCCAATCAGCTGATGCGCACAACAAAGCGTGTTTCTCGTAAGGCTGTTGTTTATCGAAGTTTTGTTAGTTGATGAAACTGAAAATCCTTATGGTAGCTAATTCGTTAACCGAAATTTTGTTAATTGAGCCGTTCATTAATCGAGGGACCACTGTAATTACAAATGGCAAAACAATTTTCTTTTGTGCAAAATATATGACGTTTATATTCAAATTATTCGCTGTCTTGCAAATATTCTAGCAATGCAAATTACATTCTCCTAACTTTAGTCTGTGATATTATATAAGATAAATACTTAAAGCCTACTATATAATCACTAAACCCTGGTTAGGAGAGAGAGAGAGAGAGAGAGAGAGAGAGAGAGAGGGAGGGGAGGTGACAGTGACATGTTTGCAGTTGGAACCGAAGGTCTAGTGAAGTATTTATTTGTTTATTTATGTCCTTTAGATTAAGTTTTTGTTTTTTGTTTATAAAATGTCACAGTTAGTTTTTTAGTTTAACAAATTTATTGACAAAGCTTGGAGTACAGTTTGCCTATTCTGAGTAATTCAGTCAGGTCTTGACACAGAAGTGACCAGGGAGAATAAAATTCACATTGCTGGAATTCTTATAAGATAGTGATTAATTTGAATATACATCATGCTATAGTTTGCACTAGACAAAAATGTTAGTAATCATTTAGTACATTATTTTGAGTACGTGTACAGTACAGCTTTGCCCTTAGGACAGTGTAGCGTGCCCAGAGAAACATTAGGCGCGAAGTTTAAAATATGATGTGCCAGATTGACTCTCGCAACATAGGAAAGATTCACTTTAAATTAAAACATTGTCCTAATTGTGGGTGTTGCTTTAAATAAATAATCTTAAATTGAATCGCTTTAAATCGACGTTCTACTGTACTAGACGGGGTCTCACAGGAAAATGCTTGGGAACCCCTGATGTAGAGGAAACTGAAGGGCAAACCAATATCTTGGATTAATTTTGTATCCATCAGAATGACCATGCATGTATCAATAACTGTATAATTGTTTCTTTTTATGTTTGTTGTAACTTTAAGATTTCAAAACCAATTACGAATACCAAAGAACAACAAATTATCAAAACATAACAAAATTCATTGAATAAGCACTAACTACGATTATATCTTGGAAGTTCCATTTACCGTACAGTTTATGAATACTGTATACAGTATAGAGAAAGGATTTGCATAATAAACACATAATTATTGTTTGAAGATACAGTAATATTATTTCTGAACAATAATTATCAGTCAAAGGATACAATACCCTCAAATCATGCAATAGTCACTTTGACCATCAAACTTTTATTAATTTGCACATAAGACCATTTTTGCATAGAACATATAAGCAGAATTTTTTACTTATACAGGTATCCGTGTTCAAACGATCATGATTAATAGATAATGCATGATTAGAATATGGTAACCACAGTCTGCAAATCAGTGAATCAAAATTTACCTAAAGATTTACTGAATATGCATGAGTAATTACACTCCCAGTACAAATGTACCATGTATTGTTTGTTTTTGTGATTTTACACACAATAATTTTAGTTTTTACAATATTATGTTAAATATCTAATCTACATATTAAAAAATTCCCTAACTACATTTTTACAGATTTTGGATATACAGTATAATAAAGCACAAACAGTAATTCTAAATCCAATATTACAGTACAGTATTTGGCTTTTTCACAACCTTTCAAAAACCAGGCTAACTGTGAAATCAGGTTGGTTCCTTGACACAGCCAGGATCAAGCCACCCTCTTATAATGACAATGCTAGTTTGAACTTAACCTCTTGTGCATGGGACCCCCTCTGTGCTGAATAAAATCATCTGCCATTAGCCAAATATCAAAGGTAACATCCCAATAGTGAAGGGGTTAAATTAGGTCATTAGCAAACTTATACAAGATTTGAATGCTATAATCAAAGATTATACCCCTAGAAATGATGAAAAACACTGATTGATGAGTGGATGAACCTTGAAACTCCACGAGTGTTTGAAATAGCCTCTAAAGTACACAAATCCGTGCCCCTCATTGGGTGTAGGAAACATGGCTGCCTGTGAGCCATCTAAATACCACAGAGTCATGACTGACACTGGAAGGCTGAATATGAATTTACCATTTATGGCCAACTCATTTGATACCCAAAGTGCACACATGCTGATGTGATGTCACAATTAATTACATTCTAGCTTAAATGGTGACTTTTGTTTCTGAAGAGACCTTTTAGGAACTTGGTTATAGAAAGACACACAGTAATTGTTGAATTAGTCGTAGCCACTAATCTCCTTGGGTTTATACAGGTTTTCTACCCATGAACTTAAGTGCTTTACAGTGACTGTTTAGGCAAGGTATTAAATCATAAAAATTATGACAGAAAATAACAAATGAGTGGTAAATACCTTTCAGGGTTGGGATAGCGTTGCCAGAGGCCTTGAGCCACTTGCTCCCAAGAAAATTTGATTGTACTGCTGCCTTCATAAAACTTCATTGTTGTAGTTTTTTTGTGTTAAACTGAAAAATAATCATAAATTTATAAAGGAATAAAAAAACTCATAAATCACAATATAATTCGAGAAACAAATTTTTAAAGTTTAGTGTACATGTACACTCCCCCAAAAGTATTCATATGGTTCTTGTGTGGGTCAAATTATCTGGTAACACTTTCCTGCAGAGAACTGTTAGAATTCCAAAATAGCCCATTATTTTAGTATCATTCTTACATATATATTATGAATATATTTGTTGTGTAGTAATATCTCCATTAGCCAGAATCTCTCAAACCCGGAATTGAAATTTTCCGAGGGGCACATTTTCCAGAAAATTCCAAGAAAATTTTCCCAATACCTGGAAAATTCCAGGGATGGGGGAGTTTTTTCTGGGTTTAAGAGATGAAACTCAGGTGCATTTTCTGGAAACTCTGAGAAAATTTTCCCGATACAGTCAGTTCTGCTACAACGCGATAGTTGTGTTCTTGTAAAACCTCGCGTTCTAGAAATTCGCGCAATAGAAATAACAGGGCTTATGGAGAAAATAGGGTTAGGTGCAGATTACTCGAAATCAAAAAAAATTTAGTAGTTAGTCTACCACAAAGGATAGCACAGTCTAAATAAATGTTACATTCATATCTAATAATGAAATCATACAGGAAATGTAACACTTTACCTTGAAAAATATGAATATTTGTATACTCTGTAACTTGATGGGGGAGAAGGGTGATTTTGAGGAGTCATGCAGACAGGAGTTTAGAGTTGTCATCTCCTCAAGTTCCTTTGGCCGTGATCTCACACTTTTGCTAGCACTCAAGCTTTTTCCAGCAATACAGCTTGCTTTAATCTTTCCTGCATTGTCTCTAATGGTGCGTAAAGTAGACTCCTTTATTCCCGTTGCATGCACAATATCACATGTTCTTTCCTTATATTCAAAACGCTTGATAACATCAAGCTTCTCTTCAAGTGTCATAGCCTTTCTTTTACGATGACCACCGGGAATGCGATCACCACAACGCTTCTTGGAGATATTCTTCTTTTCCATATTCACAGTTAATACCACAAAATTGGAGAAATAGTAAGCAAAAATCACTGAGGACGATTCAAAACAACCCACATGTTTCAACTGATTGTGTGATGGAAAGAGAGAGCGCGGGTGTAAAACACTCTTTTTCTCTCTCTCTTTTATTTAAAATTTTACAATTTACATATATACATAAATATTACATAAATTATTTCTGCAATCCTTAATGTTTAATATTAACTGTAGTGATAATAAGGATAAGAATACAATGATCATGTAAAATGCTATTAGTCTGCACTGCAAAACATTATTGTAATTTTTTTTTTCATACAGTATTTATGGGAACAGCTAAATTTGGAAAAAAAGAATGAAATTTATAGAATCCCTATCAACTAACACTTCACAAACAAAACGCATGAATCAATTGAACATGTGATGTCGAACGTGAACTGTAAACACTGCATAACCCCGCGCCAAGCGACAGTACATTTAAAACGTTCGAGTGGAATCACGTTACAGCCAACACGCATTCGCGTTTTACAAATATCGTTCTTCTATTCATCGATTGTGTTATAGCCAATTCGCATTGACAAAACACACGTTGTAACAGAACTGACTGTACAGTACTTGGAAAATTCCGAGGCCGAGGGATTTTTTCCGGCTTTGAGAGTCGTCTCGTTACTCGGAAATCTCTCATTCCCGGAAATGTTCTGCACCAATTGTTCCGGCTAATAGAGATATCACTATTTGAAAAGTGTCAGGTCTTGAAAACACAACAAATCTGTTTTATGGATAAATACACAAGTTGTTGCCGGCTGGTACAGCAGTAGTCTTACTACGTCCTCCCTCCCTTCCCTCCTACACCTGCCAACTCATGTAGTGTTATGACTGATTGAATAGATCTGCTGAAACAGTTTTATGAATAATGGTTCCATACAACAATGCAAGTAAACGACTCACAGTGTTTCGTAACATCTCAAAAGTTTCAAATCCTGAAACATACATCAGTAACAGCTTTACACTTAAACTCCATAATTCATACTCTCCTAAATCAAAATCAATCATAATTCGAGATGTTTTGCAGTTACGTAATATATGTTACAAATTTCACAATTGGTAACATTTCAAAATATGAGACATTTCAAAATAGTACGATATATTGTACTATATACAGTCTCTCCTCGACTTACGACGGGGTTCCGTCCCGACGACCAGGTGGTAAGTCGAATTATTCGTAAGTCGAAAAGGCGAAAATAATACATAGAAATTCTAAAACGGGTGTCTCTTTTTCTGCTCAGCAACACGAGAACTCTCACTTTTACGCTTGCCAGCCATTTCAAAGGGAATTACAAACGAAAATTTTGTCAGTACACAGCGCGATCACTAACGTCGGGACTTGAAAATACGTAATGTGAAAAATATTTTATACGACCATGGCTGTCGTATGTCCGGGTTGTCATAAGTCGAATATGTCATAAGTTGAGGAGAGACTCTACTGTATTACAATTTTCATATTTGGTAAAATTTAGAATTACGAGACATTCACAAATATGTATAACACACGTCGCCATGAGATGCGACCGCCTTCCTCAGTGTAAACAAGTACTGTACAGTATACGCAAGTCGTTCAGTTCACATGGGTCAGTCGTACGGTGCACATCTATGGTCTACCACACAAGCTTTTTCCACTTGTTTTTCCATCATTGCCCACCAAAATTTGAGCCATTATCTCTGATAACCCAAATTCTGGAACTGTACTTAGAAGCATTAAAATTTTGATTGGGGCAGATAATGGAAAAGTATCTTTGTTTTGTTTGCTTTTCCCTAAGGAGGTGTTCCTCATAATTCATAAGGGCTAGAGCCCCTATTATTTCAAATTATGGGGTTTTTACTGAAGTACCATAAGCACATGGAGTCATATGTAGTACAGTAGTCCCTCACCAGCTGCAGACTTTGGGTATCCATGGTTTTTACTCTGTACTGTACAGTATACCATTTCACCTACCATGGCATTGAATTTCGAGTATCCACGGTTTAGCATGGCGTCATTTTCTCTCCGTGGTCCAATGTATTCATCTGCACAGCATCCAGCCTCCTGCCACTTCTCGCGCCATGAACTCTTAGTGTTGTGATCTCGTAACAAGAAGACATATTTTACTGCTTAATACACTGGATACTTATTACGTATTTTTTCCAGTAATAACATTGATTTTGCCTTTAAATATGGCCTCTAAGCATGCATTTGAGTGTGAGTGATAAAGGAAAGTGAAGAGAAAGTTGAAGTGCGAGATAGACTAGTGTGTGGCAAGAACGTAACGTCAGTGGGACCCGCCATGGGGGTAAACGAATCCTCTTTTCGTACGATTAAGAAAAGTGAGACTACAATATGAGCTTGTGTCATCCTCATCCACCTTTGTCCCAAATGAAGGTAAATACTCCTTACAGTTAAATTTATATTACTAACTAATTTATATCAAGCTATTTTATATGTATTTGACTCCAATTAATGAAATTTACAATGCAGGTATTGTTTTGCAAAGGAAAAGGCAACTTAGTTAGACCTTGACAAGTGCTATCAGCAGCATTGCAGCCTAACCCTCTAATTCCCATAAGCCTTAAGTCTTACCAACCGTGGATTTACCAACCACGGGTTTTTAGCAGGAAACTAACCCCCACAGTTGGCAGGGGACTCGTACAGGGGTACTGCACTTTTATTGCTACACAGTCAAACTCCTTCACAACCAATACCGGTCACACTATATTTCTATTTCTACCACCACTTCCACTAAAATATCTGCTTAATGCCGACACAGCTACTGTACTTGAATTGCTACAAATTACCTATCAACAAAACTTTAATTAGTGACATTAAATTGCTATAGCGCAATTTTTTATTTTTTCTCTATCTATGATCATAAATCACCTGTAATGGGCAGGTCATAAAGTATGAGGGAAATTGCAGGGTAAAACACGGTGAAAAAATGGTTATATGACACTAAAATTATGTCTCTGCATGATATGTATGTGAAGAAATAAATTATTTACTGTAAATACTGTACTCCTCAAAAAAATCTGCCGAGTCAGAATGTCTGCTCAGTTTCTTTGCAACCGACGTAAAATTATACCATGACACTTCAACAAAGTTGCTTTCATTGGTAGCAGTACTTTCTGTTTAATATGGCAGGGGAAATGCCCTTCAGCTAGGAAGTAAGGTAAGGTGAGGTAGGTTCCTTTGGTTGCTTCGGTCAGGTTCTATTAGGTTCTAGCAAATGTTGCCTCTTTTAAAATACTTATTACTGTATTATAATAAGAACATCTGTGGAAAAAATTAACGAAACCAAACAAATGCTTCTGGTGGTAGTACTGTTCATAGAAATTCCCAGGATTTATATTAGATTGAATTTGTTAAATTTTTCTAGAGAAGGTGTTTGGATGATAGTAAGAAAATAAATACAACAATGCACTAGTTAGGAAGTTAGGTAAGGTTAGGTAAGGGTAAATATTTAGAGGTTGCCAACACCTACTTGTATATTGAGTCTTATACAGGGTGATTCAGCAGAGTTCATTAAAATGGAGGATGAAATCCTTGGGTAATTCTAAACCACAATGTCTCTGGTAAGATGTCAGATTCACATCTAATTCACTCTCATTAATGCAACATCTTAAATGTATTGTAACATGGAAACTATGCAGAATCTGACATTTTACCAGAGACATTGTGGTTTAGAATTACCCAAGGATTTCATCCTCCATTTTAATGAACTCTTTGCTGAATCACCCTTTATCGGGAGAAAGAAACAATAAAAATAATTTATTGTATAGCATTTGCATTGGAAACTTATATTTTTTTAGTATTTTAACCGATAAAATTACCCACAATGTTACTTCTCCAAAGTGGGCAGGGGTTTAAAGTAGAGGAAAATGTGGGGTAAAACACAGAAAAAAAAAAACACTGAACAAACTTTGAAACCCTGACCGTTCTAATGTTTCCTAACCTTTAAAAATCCTAAAAAATATAAAGTTTACCTTATTCCTGTTTTTGGTGTTTAGTATATGATGATGTTTTTGATGTTCAGATGAGGAGGGATTTATAAACTCGAAAGTAATTCTTAACATTTTTACAAGTTTAAGTAAGGTTTTCAAGGTTTGTTTGGTGTTCTTTTTAAGTATTTTACCCTACATTTTTCACTTTGAACTTCTAATATTGTGGGTAATTTTATCGGTTAAAGTATTTGAAAATATAAATTTCCAACGGAAACGCTATAGAATAAATTATTTTTATTTTTTTCTCTTTTTCCCTATATGACTCAAAATATTCAGTAGGTGTTGGCAACTTCTAATTATCAGCCTAGGTAAGGTTAGGTCAGGTTCTAGTAGGATCCATGCATTCTCGTTGATTGACTGTTTGTGCTAATTACATCCCTGGTGATGCAACAGCTTAGGTCATGACACAAAATTAAAATAAAGGCTTAAAAGACTAAAACCAAATAATGCATGGTAAAAAACATAAGTAAGCAACCTTGATTTAATTTTCGTATCTCCAGTTATTTCTGGTGCTAATCATCTACTCCACTATTACCAACGATTTTTTTCTGGTATTATTATCGTTTCGGTCATGCAGCAAATTTAGGTTTACCATAGGTTAGTTTTGGTTAGGTTAAGTTGAAATTATGTTTTACTAGTGGTTTTTGCTGTGTTTTGAACGATTCTGACCTTCGGAAAATAGGTCCATGTCCGAAACGATAATTTTACCGGTCAATTTATAGTAGTGCACCGTTCTTTCTTTTGGGTATTAGAAATATGTGTAAAAAACCATAGAAAATCACCAAAAACCAACCAAACCTAACCTAATCAGGGGGCTCCTCCCCCTTTGGACACCCCTGATTAGGCGGTCCGACTAATTACCCAAATGTAGCAAAATGTAGCCGCAATGAAGTCAAATAATGGTTCTACATGAATAAATAGGACTGCTAATCACTTCTCGACTAGTATTTGGTGTCACGAAGTCACAAAAAATTGGAAAACTTGCTTTAATCTGAGTTAATAGATCGCGTGCATGTACCGAGGGAGCGAGTAATTACCCAAATGTAGCCGCAATGAAGTCAAATGATGGTCCTACAAGCGTAAACCGGGCTGTGAATCACTTCTCGATTATTAAATGGTGTCATAGTCACAAAAAATTGGTAAACTTAATTTAATCTGAGTTGTGTTGTGTTAGGTTAGGTACATGCACTCGATCTATTAACTCAGATTAAATTAAGTTTACTAATTTTTTGTGACTTCGTGACACCAAATACCAGTTGAGAAGTGATTAGCAGTCCGATTTATTCATGTAGGACCATTATTTGACTTCATTGCGGCTACATTTGGGTAATTAGTCGGACCCCTGATTAGGTTCGGTTAGATAAGACGGTGCACTAATATAAAAATACCATTTCACCTTGTACTCTACTACTTATATGTACTGTACCTCTGTTTGGTAAGGCTACACTTAGGCCCTTTGGACCACTCTTGTGACGTCCAAGGTCGTCTATCTACACCCAAATCTTATCTCGTCTCCTATAAACAGCCTGGCAAAAATTTTCTTGATTACACCTCACAAATTACAATTTGTATAACATAAAATATAACTCCAGCAAGCAATACTAACACACACCGGGTTATCACTGACCGGCCCCGAAGCACACTATACAGTACTACAGTTGTCGGCTGAGTCGGCAATATTTACTGCCTGATTGCACCCATTACGGGAAAAATATCTCGCCTTTTTTCCGTGAGTGATCTCCCAAAACTCTGCTTACCTTGCTACAAGTAAGAAGCACAGACCATTTAATACTATCATAAAATTTATGTTAATAGTAGTGTGGAGGTTGAGTGGCGCCTCCTACCACTACCATGTTTACATCGCCAATGCTTGACATGGACGATGTTACTGGGTGAATATTTTAATAATCAACTTTAAAAGGCAAAAAAACACAGACAAAACAACTAAGCCAATTTACCTTTTAAATTCCATTAATAAACCTTACCGAATTTACCGTAACGAAAAATGACATAGAATCATATGCTTCCAAAAGAGGAACATTAATTAAAATAAATGGTTGAGCGAGAAAGTTCGTGCTATTTTATGAACATTATCGGTCTAGACCTACTACCCAGAAGTAAGGAATAGGAATATTATATTCCTTTATAAAAAAAATCGTTCTTATCCCATGACCTATGTGGGGGGGGGGGCAACCTAATCTAAGCTAACTTACTACCCTAACCTTCTATTGCCACATACCTATCCGGAGGGGGGGTCGCCAGCCCCCCGGACCGAAATACCTAATGGGATAAAAACGAATATTAACCTAGTCCTTCCCAAGAGACTACACTGTCTGGGCCCGGCCCGGCGCTCTTTGACAGATTATTCCATGAGTTCACAATTCTCACTCATAAAAAGTTTCCCTTAACAATTTTCTATGTTGTGGCTACTTTACTTTTTATTCTCTTCACCACTGATCGGCTCGTTAGCCGCTTGTGCACGTCTCTGTTACGCATTGTTGGCAAGTACTGGGCATGCACTAGCTCCTGAATGTACCTGAACCTGCTCCAGTGTTGGTCAAGTCTGGTCTTGAAAGAGCTCACACTCGGTGCCGACACAACACTTTCTAGTAGATTGTTCCAAGAGTTCACAACTCTCACTCCGAAAAAGTTTGCCCTTACAGTTTTTTGGACCTGCGGCTTCTTCAATCTTGAGCTGTGACCCCTTGTGGGGCGAACGTCCGCCAGCTCCAAGTAAGGAAACTCGACTGAGTAGTGCTCCTTGAGATACTTATACACTTCAATTAGGTGGCTTCTTGCCTGTCTGAAGTATAAGCTAGGCAATTTCAGGCGCTCCGATCTCTCAGGGTAGTTGAGGTGCCGAAGTGCAGGCACCATTCTGGTGGCCTTCCTTTGAACATTTTCAATCAACAGACAGTCCCGAGTATATATCTCGGGGACCAGACAGTACTCCAGATGGGGAAGCACTTCACTCTTGAAGATTGTTACGAGGGACGGACCGTCTAGATATCCACATGTTTTGTGGATGGTGGAGCATAATATGAATCCAGAGGTATAAACAGAATGTTGGTACAATACAACTGTGACCATGACATGGTATTACTTAAAGCACCATGCTATTACTTGATTAACAGGGAAACATATACTAGCACATTTCAGCTGTGAGTACAGCTGGTTTACTCACATTATCACATACATCACAAACAATAATACTGGTAATAGTAGATTTATGGTCTCAATACTCAACCTAGGACAGTTGTATTCCCGATAACCCATCTACAATAATGCACACAAGAATTATTAGCATATACTGTTAGGGTGAGTACATCAGGCTTCCACCCTTGGTATTCAAAGTAAATGCTGTGCGGCCACACTCTGATGCCGCTGCAGGGCGGTGCTTGAGAGCAAATTAGTTACCCCACACTCCCTCCCTGGAGCATTCCGCACTCAGATATTAATCCGGCTGTAATAAAGACGTCCTGCTGGTGGCTACTGCTCCTCGGCACTGGCAACAACGCATACAGTGACTGATAGACGAGGAAGGAGCATCAAGAAGTGACTGAAGTCATAAATACAAAATGTCATAAAACATGTCTGGCAAGGGAAGAAATGGATCATTCGACACGGAAAACGCCCAGTTGCGTTACAGTATCATTTGATACATAAGACGTTCAACTACGTTAAAACAAGATGGACAGTCAACACAGGCTGGCTGGCTGAGCCGCGGCTCAGCCAGCCAGCCAGTTGACTCAAAACAATGACGTTCTCACACACATTAAAATTTACTTTGTAAAGAGGTTGATTTTAGGTTTTAGGGAAAATGGATAGCACCTAAGCTAGGGAAAATGCATTTCTTCTTGAGGATAACTCACTAGTTTCCCATATGTTTTGTGGGAGTGGAGCATAATATGAATCATGAGGTTTCAAACAGACCAGCCGTGCCACCATGACCATGACAATACAGTTGCAGAAATGTGTTCCTACACCCCCTGTGGTTGCCCGTGACTCCAAACAGCGCCGTTGCAGTAGTATCACTATTTATGAATGAATGGGTATTGGTCATGTAACAACGGACGTGATTGAGGGATAGCGTTACTATACTGTAGGTCATATAGGTTAGCTGTTTGGAGACACGGGTTAGCACAGGGGGAGCAGGAACACATTTCCACAACAGTACCTGTCCATAAGAAGCGATCGAAGTCAGATCCAGGAAACTACCATTCAATATCACTATTATCTGTAGTCAGCAAGAAATTTGAGAAACTAGTCACAAAGGAAGTGTGTCACCAGTTTGACAATATGTTGTCTAACCAGCAGTTTGGTTTAAGATGAGCTTGATCCACCTCAGGCCTGCTGCTGCTCCTCTCCAGAGACTGGCAGGTTGGGCTGGACAATGGTCTGGACACCCTCCTGATCGCCCTTGACATACCACAGGCCTTCGACCTGGTGTGGCATGGGGGCCTCCTGGAGAAGCTTCAAGCGAAGGGAATCCAGGGGAACCTTCTCCTGCTTCTGGCAGATTACCTGCAAGGGAGGACCCTCAGAGTTGTCTTCAACGGTCAGACCTCCCGAGACTGTTCTTGGGCCGATTTTATGGAACATATATATTGACAACCTCCTACAACAAATGCCAGCGGTATCAGCCTATGCTGATGATTGCACCCTATTGTGCTTTTATCCCCACCAGAGGGTAAACCAGTAGTTGGAGCTGATCTGTGGGTGGGATAGACATTGGCAGATGAATTCTGCCCATCAGAAAAAGCGAACGATGGCGATATCCCACTCCCCGGCAGCTGCCCATGCCATAAAGGATAGAATCCTCTTTGGGGAGGTGCCTCTGCCACTCCTGGATTACATAACAATCCTCTGAGTGGACTTTGACATACATTTGAGGATCGACAAACACCCTAACAAGTGCGTCCGTAAGGCCTCACTCAAGGTGCCTGGTGGGGAGGGGGGGGGGCTTATGCCAACCAACCTTCGTAATCTGTCACTTTTATAATGATGAGGAAATTTTCCCTTGCAAAGATGACTTCCTTTATGAATCACACTACAGGTACTAGTTATGATCTACTATACATGGCTTCAGCTGGTAGACTGTTCGTCTTGTCTATTATCCTCTGCATGAAAAAGTATTTCGTTCTATTTGTTGTGAAGGCCATAAGGTAAATCTGGTACAGTACATATATATATATATATATGTGTGTGTGTGTGTGTGTGTGTGTGTGTCAGTGCCATATCATAATCGTTTTCCAAAGGGGTGGGTGAAAGGGTTGTAAATTTATGACTGGACAGGCCAACAAATTTTGCTGTATAAATTTATAATTAGCGATTAAAGATAATTTAGTTATTTAAAATTTGTTACAGGTCAGAACTTTTCCTGCATTGAAGTTCAAAACATTAGCCACAAACCAGATTCACACATCACCACATTAGTCCAGGAGCATTAGACAGATTTTGTGAGCAGAATGGAAAAAAAAATTGCTCTAAGTCAAAATTTTCAGGCATGATACAGAATTATGCCTAGAACATCATATCCAAATATAATGCACCAAATAATACCCTGAGGAATTCAAGATAATTTAGCATTCGTATTCAGCTGGTTAGATTCTGGGAGGCTTATTCATAACATCCAAATGTAGTAATCTTAATACTTTCAAATTCATATCACTTTAGGTCACCTTGACCTGTTATGTGACTTGGTGTGGGTGAGTGTGGGGAAGCATGGACTGCCCTGAGCACTTCATTTTGAGGCCTGGAGTAGTCAAAGCAACTGGAGTCAAATAATTGGCCTGCCAAAGTATAAATGGGTATGGGGATAGTGCTGCAAGTTGCCTGAAATCAACTTAATATTTTTGAACTATCCAACACATTTATTTGTATTTTCTGACTGCTGTGCAATGGTGCATACAGATAAAAACAAGTTAAATGTCTCACAAAAAGGGGTTGTTGGTGATGCATGGGTAACATGCTTATCTCTCACTAATACAGGTATATCAAGGGTTTGAATCCTGCTTGGCCCGGACACATGTGAGAAGGGTGTTATCCAGTGTGACCCCACCAAACACCACAGGTTTCCCAGAGTCCACTTTCCTCCTGTACTAACACTAGATTGACCAACCATCTGAATGGCTAATAAACTTTTAAGGGGTGAAATGATAAATAAATACAGTACAGTCATCTTTATGCAAGACCAGATGGTAATGCAAAATAGAATGTCTCATAGCTATTGGGACACAAATTTATTGGATACTTAGTATAAAGTCAAGAAAAATATTTTGGATAATGTACTTATTTAAATGTTAAATGTTTTTTATTTTTCAGTAAAAAAATCTTGTGCTGTACAGTATTCCTATCCCATATTTGATTTTTTTATTAATATGAAAGTTACTACAATGATTAAGTCTTAAGAGGATTGAAATTCAATTTGCCACGGGCTTTGACAAGCCTAGAGCTATTCCTAAGAGTACCCTGTACTGTAGTCACACTGCAATTTAATGGGTCTTTAAGCCAATAAACCCCACTTTTAAAGGCTTTCTTCTTGAGAGAAAACTTGCATAATTTAAACAGACATGAAATTTGTGAATCATTAATTTCCTGGATTTTTTCTTTCTCTCCAACCACATTACAGGCTGCTGATGTGACTTTCTGTCTCATTTACACACAATTGCAGGGTCTCAATTGTTTCTCTTACTTTGACAACACAACATACATAAATTGTTTCTCACTACAGTATTGATTTTTTTTTATTTCTTTATGGTTCTTTGTTATTATTATTGTTAGTGTTGTTATTATTATTATTGATATTATTATTTTAATTTTGTATTTTTATTACATTTTTATTTACTATGAATTATTAT